TTTGTTGCTCATTATGTCTATAAAACAAACTTGGTGATTGAATTGAGGAGAATCAAAGCTTTCTAAGGATGTATAATATGTCTATATTGCTAAAAGTTTAACCAGTGTTATTTTAGAGCGTACTGCTGTGTTTAATCTAAATATACACACCGGATCATCGGTGATCTGGTGGATGTTAAGATATTAAAATGGTAATTTATTTTGGTAATTCAATCCTACAGGTATTTCATTTCATACAGACTGACAGATTTCTTGAAAAGATTTCTTGTAATTTATATGACTAGCCAACAGCAATAAACCAAACTCTCTGGTGTGTCAGACAACCTGAATGTTAGAAACCATTAATAAAAAGGGACAAATTTTAGCGCAGCAATTTTAGGTTATTTTTTGATAAATGCATACAAAATCATAGTTATGACTAAATTAATCTGAAAGCTTATTCTCGTGGTATTTGTGAGTTCACAAACACACTAGAAGCTATTTGGTCCAGCTAAAATCGTTCTGAGTCACACCTACAGTGCATTGGCCTATCACCTTTCACTACTATGGTTTGAAGGTGGGACATATTTTTGACAAAAACAAAAGCTGCCAAGCCTAGAGATGAACCAAAATAAACATGGCCGCATAAGAGGACATAAGTAAGAAGCATAGATTTTGCTATCGTATCAGCTATTTCAGAATCCCATATTTGATCTTTGTAAAATAAAAAAAAAATAAAAAAAGATACAAAGTAAAGGCGTGAATGGTGGATCTCATGGCATCTACTGCTTTTTCAATTGAAAGCTAAACTTTGGTAGGGGGCACTAGGTGTTTCTTCATCCAATCAGCTCCAAAGGTTCTGTTTAACGTTCCTCCATTCCCCAAAAAAGATTGGATTGGAGAAGTGCCAGACTAATTATAACTAAACAGAACCAAACCTAAGTGCTACACATTATCAGTCTGGATTCAAAGGTAAGGATAAGACTTTACAGATATCCAGAAGATGCTTTATGTTCAGTGAAAAGTGAAATACCCTTTAGTTGTCATAGGAAAAAAAAGTTCTCCACACTGTGTTGGACTGATTTGTACCACAGAGATGATCAAAGCTGTATTATCAAGAGAATATCACCCATTTTCTCAGTGGATCATATATACATTTAAATGTTTTGACAAACTGAATCTAACTTATCCTTGGCTGTAAATCAAAAATAGTTTATATTTAATATAAGTCTTAAAATACATTATTCTGTGCATGATTATACTCTCACTAGTCTCACTTTTTGAATGTAAAGAGACTTTTCTGTTATCTAATTGGTAAAAATGAATCTGTACACTGATCCTTTGGTTCATTAAATGTTGGTAAAATTAAGAATACAATCTGCTAGATTCTGAAATACTAGTGAAAAATGCAAATTGTGCAAGAAATGTGTTGTGGGTTTGATGATCCAAAGTCAAGCATTTTCTGAGGCCCAACCTCGTCGTCCTTGACTGGATACCCACGGTGAATGAAAGTGAACACAGGAGGATACTGATGACCTTAAAATGAGGAAAGTATAACAAATGTGCTAATGAGCAAGCAACCACAGAGAAAATAGTGCCATCAAAAACTCCCGACCTTTTCTGCACTTCAAAATGGGTCAATTTACCCAGCTGTGTGGAAAAAAAAAGAAAACTGCACTGAAGTCAAAACATCTGTCATGAGCTGTAATTGGCTTTATTAGACATCTCATCCAGAGTTCCCAATTACAGGCCTCAATAATTAACTACACTTGAAATTAAATGTATTTTCTCATCAGCCTTTAATTAAAAATGCCTCTTGTTCTTGATTGAAATTTCCAATCTAAGGGTGGGGTTTGGTCTCCCTATGTGTTTACTCAAGCTGTACGGGGAGATGGTCGAGGTATAATTGTATTGTCTGATTAAGAGCTGTCAGGATGGTTTGGCTTTTGGCCGGATCACAAGCAGAAAGAAATCAAACTGAATCTCTAATACCACAACCGAGCCATACTACTGATGCCAAAACCAAATCTAGCCATAACTTCATCCCATATTTTGTTGCTAATTAATAGGTAATAACCACAATAATAAATACACTTATTCGGTCTTCAAATTGTACTATTTTGAAATTCAAATGAAACTTTATAAATGGCTCTGTCAAAAAAACGAAAAATAATAGGATTTTAGCTCATTTGGCCTCAAGGTGAAGCAGAAGCGATAGCTTTTGTAATTGTTACAGTCCAGTGAATATCTATAACAAATGTTCTCAAAGAAAAATTAATTTATCTCTCTGATGAAGGCCGTGCAGAGGGATGTGCCTTTTATTTCCCTCATGCAAATCACTCTGGTCCTGTCATCATTCAGCTACGTTCATTCTTTCTCCGTCTCTGGCAGACTGCATTCAATAGTGACACCTTTTATATGTTAAGAAGGAGTCAAATAAACGCACTGATACGGAATGAGATGTATTAAAAGCAGGAGGGGATTAACTATTTAAAATTTAAAACCAGAATAAGTTTAATTAGTTCTAAAAAAAATCAAAACTTCTTTTATACATCACATGCGTAAAATTTATGTTTAAATCAATTATGAATACAAATCTTCATAACATAAGGATGTGTAAAACATTGCATCTGAATGGGCTGCAGGAAACAATATAAATCCTTTTAAAGTTGGGATTTTTTTCATCTTTCAGGTATTATCTGTCATGTCTGTTTAAGCTACAAAGAATTACAACTTTTGACAAGTGGCTAAACCCATTTTCTCATATTTGGACCTGTTTGTTAATAATTTATTAATGAAAAAAGCTTTTACGCTGTTTTAAAAGGTGTAAAGCTGTTTAATGACTGAAGTGAGGTTGCTGGTAAAAATATAAAGGTTTGTTTCTGCTTGTTGAACTAACTCTGTCCTCTAATGTCCAACACCGTCTCAATGAAACGGTCACTCTGTGAAAGAGTTTTGCATGTTAAAAAAAAAGGAAAGATCTGCAAATGACCAAGTAAATAATAAATTTAAATCTCGTAGCTAAAAGACCTGCCCTCTTTACTTTAAAAAATAAAAATAAAATGTGCGTGCAAGAGCATGCACATGCCCATTTCTCCTCGTGCACGACTTGTGGACTTTATAGCAAACTCCGTTAACTGATCGTTTGGACAGATGATCACTGCTTTTTGCTCCGTTGGTCACGTAACTCCTCCTCCCCCATGCGGTGCCTGCGCTATCTTTGTTATTACTTGCAGCTGTCGAGTCGCAACAGCTGGCCGTTGTAACAGCAAATTCAATGTTTCTTTGAGAGGAGAGCTCTCTGTGCAAAGCAATTTGATATATATTTGCTTCTTCTGAGGTCTTTCTTTTTTTCTCATGCACTTCTTAGACACTTTTTCTCTTACGACCCTTGGCCATTTTCAAAGAACCGTAGTGAGAAAGGTGAGCTTCAATGACTTTCTGAAACCGTAGCTCACCACACATATGCGGCTGAAAGAGCGCATGCACAAAAAAAAATAGCTAAGAGGGCGAGCACAAAGGGATGACCAGAATGATTGGCAAGTAGGAGGACCACTTATTTAGACAATCCGCTCGGAAATAAATGATCGTCCTCTTTACCTTTAAGCAAGCCTGATATGCACAAGGAAGGAAAGGGTGACCACTAGCAAAGAATTAATCTACAACCCCAAAATGTACACGTATTAAAATCACATTGAAAACGGATAAAAAAATTGCTATGGTTAGATTTGCAATGCTGATTTATCTGGCCCAGTTACAAAAAGTGTTTGCAGGGGTCAAGCTGCGACTTTAAACCTAAATACGCTGTATCAACCATCAAGCATAGTGGTGGGTACAGAATGCTGAGGGTCTGTTTAACTGGTTTGTTGCAAAAGGCTGGTGGAATATTTATGTAGGTAAACATTATATTTCCAAATAATTTCAGTTTACTTCAAATCAAGCAATACGGCGCTAGGTTGACACTTACACATAATTGGACATTGGAGCAGAAGATATAATCTCAACATAAATTATATCCCGTTTTGGCATAAATAGGTAAGATTAGGATTCTTGCTGACCTCAAATCTGTCAGAAGGATATGAACTATGATTTAAAGCTCAGTCTATGCTGACAAACAACCACTCATTTATGCCAACCAACTCAATTATCCTTTGTAGGCTTTTAACAATTTATGGAAAATCTTAATTTCTCTGGTGGATGAAATAAAGAATAGATTAAAACAATTGAAAATTCAGTGAGTTTCTTTGGTATATAGCCATTTAATCCTGAACAAAGGCTTAAATGCATAATTGAAAGCCAATGATCAATAACATTTAACCATCTGATGAGGATTTAAACTTTTTAAAATCACTGTAAATAGTTTGGGATATAGATCAACATCCGTTTGTAGAAGAGACTACCGGTATGTCAAAACACTCAAAGATTGGTAGAAGCTCCATTTTTAGTTTTATAATGAGTTTTTCTGACAATTCTTCCAGATGCCAAATCCACCTTAGTAAATAGATCATACAGACAAACTGCAGACAGTAACGTCAGATATGAATATCAATTCCTCAGAGGAAGAAAGCAGACAAATTGAGCAGAACTGATTTAATAGCCCAACTTAGTTGATGCTACTAATCCAGCTGGGGCCTGGAAGAGCTGGTCAATCATACCCTGCAAGATGAATATTCTTAACTTGCAGTGCCCTCTCTCCCATGTGTGTGAGCTGATGTCTTTTTAATCTATTTCCTTCCCAGCCTATTCATGAGAACGAGACGCCTGGTCGCCCATCTGCAGATTCAAACCACTACATCTATGAATTATAATGTTTTGTTATTTTCTGTCAACTTGTGTGAGTAAGGACTCAATCTATAAGCCTCTGTATAACTGTGTTTGTAAAGCTCTGGGTGGAAAGTTAACACCATTTAAAACTTAAAATGAAAACAGCAGAGAACAGACAAAGCCTGGCCATGCTTCTGATTGAAGGGCGTGGGGGGTATTGGGGGCACATCAGTGAGGGTGCGCTTACAGATACTCACCAACGAAGTAGGCTAACAGGAGCAGCAGCGTCACTGAAATGAGAATGGCACTGAGAGCAGCACATTTCCAGTTGCAGTGCTTGTAGGGCTTCTTTAAGCTGAAGGCAGGTCGAGAGAAGGTGTTTCGAGGTAAAGGGCGAGGGGGAGGCGAATACACCGTGCTGGAGGTTAGAGGGTATCCCGGTGAAGTTGTGCAATACATTGGTGATGTTCCACCTGGTTTGAACAGGAAATGCCTGAGAAAAACACATTTTTTGCATTACTTTGACAGACACAGATACCCAAGGATGCTTTAACAGCAAAACAGACCTTTCATTTATATGCCATTTTCTTCCAGGTGAAAACAGTAATGTTTTATTATATCAAGAAATGCAAGTTAGTATTTACAGTGTCTGGCAAACTACTTAACTAGTTAAATTCTTCTATACTTTGTCATGTTACAACTATATACTTTAATGTATTTATTAGGATTTTTTGTGATAGACAAACAATGCAATGGATGGTAATGACAGTGAGCAAAAGTTTTTTAAACCCAATAGGAAAGCTGTGCATTTGTATTAAACTCTCTAACAGACTAATAGTTTGTAGAACCACCTCACGCCTCAACTCTTCCTGGGTTTTGCTTTACCTATTTTGTACATCTAAAAACTAGAATTTTAAAAGTGGCAGGAAGAAAGCCACAACTGAAAAAAACAGCTATTTGAAGTCCCACTTTCAGTTTGTAACAACCCATCTGGAGGCCTTAGAAAATATGAAAGAAGATGCTCGGACCACTTGAGACCAGCCTACATACACACTTCTCTGTGTAATGGAAATGGATATTGCACACTTGTAATACATGGTGGTGACAGCATTCTTTGGAGATTATTTTCTTCAACAGGGACAGATTGAAATGTTCGCTTTTGGTAGAGGCATACTCCAAAATACTTGTAGATGTATTTTCAGCAAGAGAATAAATAAAACTAATGCTTATTCAGTTCAATTCAGTCTAATCATATAGCGCCATTTCATGACAGATGTCATCTCAAGGCACTTTACAAAGACAATTCAACTAGATCATACAATCAGACTGATTCAAAGTTTCTAAGGAAAACCAGCTGATTGCATTGACTCATTTACTCGAAGGTAATCCTTCACACCAAGCATGCTTGTAGCGACAGTGGAGAGGAAAAACATCCTTTTAACAGGATGAAACCTCCAGCTGATCCAGGGTCAGTGTGAGCGGCCATCTGCCGAGGCCGACTGGGGTTCAGGGAGACAGAAGCAGAGATAGAAAAAGAAGCAGAGATACAAAAGGCAACTGTCAACCAGCTCTACAGGCGGCCCCGTCCAGAGCACACAGCCTAAGAGTAGCATCATGTTGTTTGTTTTTGTTGTAATTGTAATCCAGTCTACATTTGTAAGGTTGGCACATATAGAAAAGGCCTAGACTTGCAAGAGACGGTGGTTATACAAAACAGTAATGAGTCAAGGAGACTTAAAGTTATATATGCCACATTTTGTGAGCAAATATTTCATTTGTTGGTATATCACATATAATCCAAATAAAATAGACTGAGATTTGTGGTTATAACGTGACAGAAAGTTAAAAAAAAACTAAAAAAGTAGGAATATTTTCGAAAAGGTGCTTTAATTTCAAGAACTAGTTACTGCATTTAAGGAAGTGTGAATTCAAGTAAGAGTGGGGTTGTCAAGGCTGTCCAAGGGGGAGATAAAGTATATAAGGTTGCCGAATGGTAAAAAGCAGATTTATTCGTCCTTGAAGAGCACGGATGGCTATCTCAGGAAAACATGTGTAGCTCTCCGTGTCCAAGTGCCGTATGATCAGCCCATCAGAGAGTCAGTGACAGCAGCACTATTGTCAAGGCCATTTCAGTGACAAGTTTACAAGAAGCTCCCGAGCGACAGTGACATGAGTGTGATTGAAAGTCATCTTACAGTGTGTGATGTGGAAAGTCAAAGAGACCATACTTTATTTGTAAATCTAAAAGATAAATAGCTTTCGCATCATATTCTAGCACAAGTACTTTCATAAAGCTATCATGTTTAACAATATTCCAACACAAAACAACCCAACAATGTGACTTGATGCAAATTAGGCGAGTTGCATCAAAGCTGAAGACACAAACACATCCATTCTAGCACTACAGGAGACACATACCAGTGACTGACAGTGTTTTGAAACAGAGGGAATGTTTGAGGGAAAAATAGCGCAAGCATTTATTGTTCTCACAGCAAAGCAGATTCGGAGCCACATAGCAAACATGCAACATACCCGTCGTTGTATGAGGCATCATGGCGTGCTGATGCCAGAATGTCCATCTCAATCAGGTTGTCCTGCAAAGTCTCAAGGAATGCCTGCTTTGCTATATTTCTACACACAGGTGGAAAGATGGATATGAAGCTAGAGTGAGAAATGCATGCAATATAAAACACAGAAATGGCAGTAGAGAATGTGATCACCAAACAAAATCAATACCAGCTAAAGAAAGAACGTCACAATGGATGGCATGTGATAGAGAGACCAAGGCCCTTATGGAACTACTTCTAAAGAAGAGTGAGACAAATGACATCTAGCTCTTTTACTGCTCTCATCTATGTTCTGCCATACCTTGTTTTGTTTGTGCCCTGTCCTTCTCTGCAAGCGTCTTGCTCTTCTCTGATAAACATTAGAGTATTCTGGCTCCTTTATGGTTGTGGTTGGAAGAAAAGAAATGCATCACTTACTGTACATGTCAAAACCTTGCTTTAGGCATGTTAGTATCATTTTTTACAAAAAAATAAATTTATAATTTATAAACTAATCAGTAGAGATGCACCGAGACATTATCTGCTGGACAAAATTGGCCAAATTTACACTTGAATCTTGAAAGTCAACAGACAAAAACACCCGTTATTGTGGAAGATGATAAAGACTAAGGTGAACAACATGTAGCTGAGCAGCAGGATTTGGTTTCTGGTCATTATTAATACATTTAATAAGAGTTCACAATGAAAGGCAACTTAATTATCCCTTTAAGTTGTTAAAAAATGAATGCATAATTTAACAATCAGACAATTAATAGTAAATCACTCCCTTAGATACAGTGTGAATTCACCAGACCTTATTTAAAGGTAGGTTTTCGAGATTAAAAAACAAAAAATGAAATAAATATTTTGAGAGCATTTTCCTACCTGTAATATGATATGGATCCTTTACACTTAAACATATATATTTTTTAGAGATGGAATAACATGGGGTAGCATAAAGAGGGCATGCCTGTCAACTAATAGCTTGTAGAAGCTTTTTTTTTATGTATTCCAACTGTCTAGCAGCATGACACATCTTGACCTAGAAATATTTGCCCACTCTTCTTTGTAAAAACAATCCAACGCTGTCAGATTGTGATGCCATATTCTGTGTACAGCTATGGATGCATCTCCCAACAGATGGGATGTATGCATGAGATCCTGTTCTGGTGATGTCATTCTATTGTTTTGTAGCTGCCTCAGATGCTGCATCTTGGACAGGTCATCATTTGAAATGAAAGTGTTCTCAACCTGATTGAATAATGATTATACAAAAAATAAATAAATATATTAAATACAATCAAATTTTGTGGGTGTTGATCAATGCTCTGGGCTGTTATTATGTTAAAAGATGAATTCCATCTTCATTTTCTGCTTTCTAGTAGAGGCCTAATGTTTTTTGTGCCGGCATGAAGCCGAGCTCTGTATTTCTTCAAAATTTCCTCCACCTTGGCAAAGAGCAGTGTTCCATCTGAAGGAAAAATAGCCCCAAAGCTTGATACTTTTACCACTACTCTTTTCCACGGTTATAGGTTTTCTTTTTTTGCTTTGTTTTTGTTTTCTTTCTCTTTTAGCAAAGCTTTTCATTTTTCTGCATGAAACAGGCATCTTGTAATTATTCCAAAAGCTTTACCCATGGTTTCATCCGAGCATAACAATTTTTTCCACATGGTTTTGCTAGGATTTAAATTATGCTTTTTTCCTTTTTTTTCTTCCAAATTAAAACATTTAATTTTTATTTTTCAAACCAGCATATGCGCCATAAATTTAAAGGAATACGGTCAATTGTTTTCAGATGTACTACACAGTCAGTACCTATCTTTATGATTTTACTGGGGCTCCTTCAATACTACCATAAGTCCGATCCATAAGTATGTCCAATGGTGCTTTTTTTCTCAGATGCCTTAAAAGCTCTCAGTGTATCACGGCTTTTGTTATTACTCGGGACAAAGAACATTCAATCAAATTAAAGTGGAGGTACTTTAAATGATGGCAGGTTTGGATTGCTTCCCAATAAAATGGCAGTAATTGTGAAAATAGAGGCATGCTCTATTAAAGAGGGTATGCGCTAATGCAAACAAGACAACTTATTTCTTGTAAAACCAAAATAATTGTTCTACTGATGACAAATACATTCTGCAAATGCATGAAATAGAAAAAGAAATCATTAATTTTATCAAATAGAATTCAAAGCTGACTAAAATCGATGTTGGAAAACAAATTTAGTGAGTGTAAATCAGCCATAAATTCTGTAATCGGTGCATCTTTACTAATTATTGATTAATTACAACAGTTTATTGTTTAATGGATGCAGCTCTGCAAATTACACATGTTTAGTTCATGTTTAAAGTGTCTAGAGGCTTGAGGTTCCTTTCTCCCCCAAAGTGAGTATTCTGTTCCATAAGGAAGTACTCCAATGCAATGGAGAAATGAACTGTCCACATGCAATGGAAAGGCTGAACACGTTCAGTGGTCCAAGAGAAAAGGCTGAAATTTGATGCATTCCCCATGGAGCTCAGCAGTGGACCCTCCTCAGTTTCAGCTCTGAGGATGAATGCAAAGTCCAGTGTAGCAAAAGATTTAGAGTTGTTTAGGAACTCTATAGAAGTGAACATTAAAGGTCAACAGAGCCATGAAACTACTGGCATCTCTCCTCTAGTAGACATTCACTATTAAACGAGGCATCTGAGCCATTTAATTTAATAAGAGAAGCAAGAGAGCCAACATTATAGTATTAAATGTGTAAAAAGTAAAATAAACAATCCATACAGGCTCCATGAGGAAAGAATTAAGGATTTCAGTTTTACTATTTTTTCAATTAGATTTTTTTTAGGTTATGGGTTATTTATAAAAACTGTGTTTTTATTAAAATTATTTTCTCTTTTCAACATCTGTCTTCTGCTATGCATAGGGAATACCTTTGCGGCATTATTTTGAGCTGGATGATGTGCAATCATTCATTATACTTTATACTGCCCTACCAGCTGAAACTGATTTTCATTTTCCTGTTGAATGAACCGTCTCACAACAGCCAAGGGAAAAGACAACAAGTCTCTTTATGAATGTTTTTTTTCTAGTTGTAAAAAAAAAAAAAAAAAAAAGAGCAATTAGTATTTTCCCATCTAAAATAGTAAATTATTTAACGTGTTTGTTGTTTCAGGGGTAGATTCCGAACATGTATAAATGTAACAAGATAAATAATACAAATATTTACCTTATTTGTTTTATAAGTCCAACAGGTAAAACTGATTCTACCCAAAATCACTGTCAGATTTAAATATTGGGCTGTCCTACTTAAAGCAAAGTAAGAGAGTTTGCCAATGACCCATTTATTAAGATTCAATGGCAACTGGTGACTTGATTAAAAGGGTTTGAAACTGGAAATTTAAACCAGAAAAGCAACCGAATATCAAGACATCTAATTGAGCACAGCATGTGCATCAATAGGCATATATAAAAATTAATTAATATAAGTATTTTTAATGTTTACGGAATAAAAAAGGATCGTAAAAACAGATGCGACTTGTCACCTGTCTATCTGTCTTACTGCAACTATATACCTGGAGGTTGGGTGTGACATTGCCTTTACTCCTAGTATGAATAATCAGGGGCAGAGGTGTAAGGACTGGAGAAACAGATCTGAATGCTGTTTTCTATCTTCTTATATTGAAGTTCTTAAATAAAAATTTGAATTTGTAACTTTAAATATCAGCAGGTCAAAGCGGGTTTGTTGCATTCCAAATCTAGGTGAAAAACAAGATTTTAATTGGTTAGTTTTTTTGTTGGATGTAGATGTTTTTCAGAATATTTTGACACTAACAAACAACTGGTCAGCTACTTTTAAACAGTTCAGATTTACAGGATAGGATAAAATAAACACAGACAAACTAGAAGAAATACTAAATCAGTTTGTGGATACTGTTTCTAAATCTATACTGGGGCGTTGCTGCCAGTTAAATTGCAGCACAAATTTTAAGCCAAAGAGGCTTTTTTTGCTAGAAGGAATTTTTAGCTCAAGATTTAAAAGAAAACTTTTGCATGTTAAAAAATGGAGAAGCAAGTAAATTGGCAACACATCTCAGACTTTATCATTATCACTCTTTGATAGCTGAGTTTATCAGTTAAACTCCAATCTGAACAGTATTACATTCATTACAGCTCTGACAAAATATAGTTTTCAATCACTGTTCAGCGACACTTTTACTTTTGGTGAGAAAAATAATTTTTTAGGAGAAAGAATGTTTCAGAAGAGGAGACGGAGTTTTCCTTTCATTCCAAGGGCCTTCATCTCTAGGAAAAGGGTATATTAGTATAAATGAAGGCAAAATCTGAGAAACTTCTGAGAGGAGAAAAATTGTTACCTTAGTGTAACTGTTCAACTGCTCTGACTCAATCCTAATTATTAAATCTACAAAGGTGGCGAAGTCTATTCTCAATTTAAGGAGTATTAAAGAAATTGTCTCAGCTGGTAACCTGGCTTCAGCCATGACTGGGTTTCTCTTTGTAAAAAATTTCATTCTTTTAAACAGAGATTATCAGACAGAAGGAGGTATTTTTTTTTTTTTTTGCCTTTGTATTCTCGATAATACCAGTCAAAGAAATGCCAAAAGATATTCCCTTAGTTTCAGTACTACTTGACAAATCTACTTTACACAAGGGCCCTCCTATTGAGAAATGTGCTAGAGAACAGAGAGTTGATTAATATGAAATAAATAGACACCAAGGCTGAAGTGGAGGAGCTATGAAGCTTGCACACTGGAGCCTGGATGCAATTTTTGTATTTTTCTAACATGATTATAATTAAGCTGCTAGTTAAACTCAGCCGATATGGCTGGAAGTCTGCAACTATTTGATGAAAAACCAAAACAAGCACTTTTCTCTTGTTTGCCACCAAAAACATGTTCATGGAAAAGTTCGGCCTTAGGTCCAAGCAGGATTTATTTTCTTGCTCCGCTCCTTGTTAACACTGTGGGAACTTTATATAAAGCTGACAACATGAAAAGCTGAGTTCGATGGCAGAAGCTTGAGCTCATCCCTAAAGATGCCAACATGTCTACCTCACACATTGTTAGGGAGACAAGTTGCACGGTACCTTGTTTCCAGCGGGATGTTGCTGTTGAGGAGCCAGTTGTCCTGCACGCTGCCAGAGTCTTGACCGCTGCCGGGACCCTCAGGGGGAGCGGAGCTGTCTGTGGGTGCAGGACTGGCGTTGCTCCGAGGAGTGTAGTTGCTCCTGTTTAACGAGTTAATAGAGGCTGCATGGAGCTGATGATTGGGCGAGTGAGAATGGGAGAGGGGTAGCGGAGGTGTCCGCAGCCGAGAATGATTTTGAAAGACTCCGTCTGAAAACAGAAAAGAAATACAACATCAAACAGAAGGCATTTACCTAAAACGAAAAGGAAAAAAAACAGTCATCAAAAGATTACTTTGAGAAACTTTTTGGTCCTTTTTACCTTTGAGGTTACCATCAAAGACTGGCTCATGATTTGTTTGCCAGCAGAGCAAAAATATGACTGATCTATTGAGGTTTTTAAAAATGTATTTGGTGTTTGTTGAAAGCTTTTTAAGAAAAAAAAATCCTTTTGGTGTTACTCTTTAAGCATTCTCATAAATAATTTACAAAGGACTGTTTTGATTTAATTTTTATTCCCTGTTAAAAGTGGACTAAATACAATTTTCCAATGGGAAATGCTACATATTACAGCTACCAATGCCAAAAGTCATTTTTTTTTGTATGTATTTTTTTCTTATTGGGCAAAATGAAAACTTATTATAAAAGCAATTGTTTTGTATTAGTAAAATCTAAACATAGTTTAAAGTTTTCTTTAAATTCATAGGGCAATCAGGTAATTAAATATAGCTTGTATTTCCCTGACTGTTAAATTAAGCCTTTAAAAAAATCAAAAAGGCAACTTAAATAAGACTTATTAAGCAGACCTAGTCAAAGACAACTAAAGCAAACACAAAACCTATTATTTCAATGAAAGGTTTTAGCATTAAATTTAAAAAAAAATCCAGAATGGACCTAAATGACCTAAATTGCCCTGTGCGTAAAAAATAGGACCTGTTATGCCAAAGTGAAATACACTGAAGCATCCTTAAAAGCTAGAAAAAATGCCAAGATCCAAAAATTAAAATAAAATAATAAACAATCAAGAAGGTAATTTAGATCTATTAATTTGGAAAGAGACAGAAAACTTTTCTAAAGTTTAGAGAGAATGGTTTAAATATAGAACAGTTGTAAAGCTTTGCAGAAGAGGCCGGCTAGCACGACCTTTTAAAAAGCTGCATGTCCCATGGCATCTAATGTAAAGGCAAGAACACAATTCAGTAAAAGAACATCATACTTTACTGCAGTTGCAATAAAAATGTTTGGTGATAGTTTGACAGTCTGGGGCTGTATTTTTGATGCTTCAGGACAGGAAAGATCTGTGATCAATGGAACCACAAATTCTGACATCTTTCAAAAAGTCCTAAAGGAGAATGTCCAGCCATCTCTTTGTGACTTAAAACAAATAGATCTGCAGCAGGATAATGATGGTGTGGATTGACATAGTCAAAGTCCTAACCTAAATTGTATATAGATGTTGCGGTATGCTTTTACAACAGTCTCTCAAGCAGGAAAACTTTCCAATGTGACCGAATTACAACAATTCTCCCAAAATAAGAGGGACAAAATTCCTGTATTGTGCTGTAAAAGGCTCATTGTAAGTCATTACAAACAACCAATTGGAGTTGTTGCTGCTAAGGGCAGCCAAACCAAGTATTATTGTTAGGGAGTTATTACTTTTTCACATAGGGCCATACACACTGAAAAAAATAATGTTACCACTTTTGTCATTTACTTAATCATATTTAGTTACTTTAACATAATTGTTTTATGTCCTACACTGCTATAAAAAAAACAATTGAGTTAAAGTAACTAAATATGATTAATTAAATGCCCAAAATATTTTTGTATTATTATTTTTTCAGTGTATAGCACTTTTTCCTCCCTTGTTTTAAAGAATCCTAATTTGAAAACTGCATTTTATGTTTATTGTTGAAATAATCACTAATTGACAACATTGCTTTGGACAAAAATACATGCAACAAATGTTTATTTCTTTGAGTAAAAAAAAAACAACAACTATTGTTACTCTTATAGCTTACAATTACCTAACGATGGTCTGTCATAATTAATTTCATAAACATATTGAGGTTTGGGAAAATAATCATGGGGTATGAATGATTTTCACAACACAGTATTAAGTGCACAGTATGTCCAGGTTTATGAACTAAAAAATCAAGTTAAATTAAAACTAAACCGAACCTTCCTGGCATAGCATTGACACAAACGTTTTCACACCAACAGTTTCACTCACAAATTAACAGAATCTTACAAATCCTTTAATGACAAACTACAAAGATCTCACATGAAACGAGCTTAAAATAACAGATCCTCTCCTGCTCATTATTTTTTCTAACTGATCTCCACCACTGTGTGCTCTCTGCCTCCCACTGAGACCGGTGTAAGTTTACTAAGAACAGACACGGATTGGCTTGTTTAAACAAATGAGCTAGCCTCTTCCTGAAGTTGACAAAGCCTTGCAGCTTTTTAGGCCAATCATGTGGGTTAGGGAAGACAGCATTTCTTTCATTAACAATGCATGTTTCTCACAACTTATTAGCAGATTTCAAATATAAAGTTACATGGGTTGTATGGCAGGAATCAGTAATAACTGAGAACTTAGTAAGAAGTGCCAAACTGACTCTTTATTTAGTTGCTGGTAGAGAAGAAGATGAGGCAGCCTCTAGTTCCTTTCTCACTGTTTGATACCCTACACTCCATGAGATCGAGCACTGATGTCTTTTTGCACTCTGTAGCCATTTATTTCCACGTCTTCTAAGTCATTCATCAATCAATGAACTGCTGGCTTTACAAAGAAAGGCTTTTCTCTGTAGCTTTGAGCCTCCTTTATTTCACAGGTATCCTCAGGACTAAATTGCCAATTTACAGCTCAGAGGGCAAAATGCAGACACAGAGTTGGCTTATTTCCTAAAATAAACCCCTTCATTAGAGCAATACGGACTCATGTCAGTCAACAAGTTAGGACTCCTATTAGTTTAGTTTTCAGGGTTAAGAATCACAATGGTCACTTATCAACACGTGTCAATCGTCAGATAGACCTAAGATTTAGCTGGCAAATGTGTTGCATTAAATCACCTGTTTTCCAGCTTATACATCTTCAAAGTCTTTAAAACGAAATAAATTACAATTGCTGGAGTTCAGGTTTAGTTTTAGATAATTTCTCACATTAAAAGCAGCAAGTCTTGTCTTTGTAGAGATGATTTATTACTTGGAGCAGTTAAGACACTTAAAGTATACTAGCGTGAGGTAAAAGGACACAGTGGTTGATGAGCTCCCTCCTGCTCAGTTATGTATCTTATCCCTGAGGCCATTCATAAGGTTATGCTAATTAGTTACAGAGATGACACAAATACACAGCAAAATATATCTAAAGGACAAATGCATTCCTGCTCCAGAAGGCATCCACTGCAGTCCAAAACAAGCATTTTACATCCTGGAGCGTGACCATTGAGCAAATGTGGACTAACAACTAATTTATCTCAGCAAAATCTTTCTTTTTTTTTTTTCTGGGACCATGTTCTTAATAACTGTGCATAGTTTAGCTGAAAAGCAAGAAAAGACTCACAACAAATAATTCATAGGCAAGATCTCTAAACTATATGCAATGTTAATCTAATGTGTTCACACACTGTTGTTTATCGAGCACAAATATAAACACTATTCATAAGATGAATATTTTAAACCAATAGTACAGAATAAGAGTTCCTCAAATTGTTCATCAGTCTGTAATATTAAGGCTGATGTAAGAGCTCTTATATATAGTAGTAAACAATCTCCCTGTTTTGATTTGAGAGACTGACACCTGAATTTGTATCTTTCTGCAGTCTGTAGCCATTGGCTTCATAGAAATTTTTTTGACCTCTTGTGCAACTTACAATTCAGCATCTTAACAACCTGCTTTGAGATTTTGTGTGGCCTTCCTGACCCAGTTGCTGTCGTTTCATTTTCAGTAATCGTAATACCACTAGCATTTAACTATACTTATCAATACTGAGGTAATTTCACAACAGGACTGATTGCACAGGTGGCATCATGCTATAATTAACAATAATTCAGGAATTTAAAGCACAATAATCTTTTACTCCAAGTACATAATAGATTTAACTATATTTAAAATCAGATATTTGCTTATGTGCAAATATCCACCTATAATAACGATACAGCTTATAACTTAACATGCGCAAAACATAGGGAGTTAATTGTACATCAAATACCCTGCCTGACAGTGAGCATACTTCTCTTTGTCCTGCAATACACATTTTCCCAGTGCAAGGTTAAATACATGCTAGCCTTGTAAAAACCAAAATGAAATGAGAAATAAAACCTTTTGTGTTACAAAGCATGGGACAGCACGACCCACGCAGATGTGGCAATTCAGCAACAATTATTCACTACCATCCAAGGAAAAGAAGAGAAAAAAAAATTAATGGTTTTCTATTGACCTGCTTTGCGCAACAACATTGCCAAGAAAAGGAGATTCATTTGTTATGAGAGGAACAGAGAATAGAGACCTTGCTACAATGGCCAAACATTCGCATCACATTCAAAGCAGAGGCCTGATGATATCCATTCAGTCTGGGGAATGTGGGGGTTTCATTTTTCTTCCTAACAGATGCATGCAATGGTTAAGGCCTCCTGATGCTTTCTGAGACAAGTAATTAAGGCGAATCCACTTCATTAGCCAAGACCTCATCCCCCACATTGAGAAACAACGGGAATTGTAAGTTGCTATAATTGCTCACAGAAAGATGTCCAGTCTGTTAGGAAATAACTCCACAAAAACAAAGTAAAGATTTAAGATATATTCTATTACACCACAAAATGACCAACAATATATTTCAAAATATGCTAATTCAAAAGATTTCACACAACGCAAACATTTCCAATTCTAAGTGAACCAAGTTAATGTTTGGCTGGCATGGAACCCCCTGCTGTACGTGTCTAATTGTTCTGTATTAATCAGAATATTTTAGAGGTGGATTAGTCTCTGTGGTAAATTTCTGAAATGCATCAACATCTTTTGATATTGAAATTCTAGAGTTGAGAGGTAGTTTTATTTTTATATAAACACCCTTCGCTCTGCCAGGGCTGATGGGTTCTGCCAAATTTTTCTTGCAACGAATGCAATGAATTCAAACACCCAGAAAAAGGTCCAAATTAGAAACGTGACCATGCTGAAATAAGACAGCGTAGCATGCCTGAAAACTAACA